TTCTTCAGGGGAACCCTGTCTGCTCGCTGTACTTAGAGGCATGCAGAGATCCCGAGATACCCCAGGCATCAAATGTGTATCGTTATATTTGAACATTTGAAAGAGCAAAAGTCTTGTTTGTGACTGTCCTTCAGAAGAGACAGGAGTGACCCCAACCATTAGGGAGAATTTGTTGCGAATGAGATATGTGCTGAAAGGATTTTTTTTTCCATGAATTGGGAGTTCACCAAAACTAGTCACATCTCAGGGCTGTGCCAGAGCTCTGGAAGTCATATTTATTCATGAAGGAAAGTTATTCTCTGCTGCTTCCTAGATAAGCTTTGATTGTATATTTGCTGTAAGTATAGTTATGACTCTAATTTTTTTTTGCACTCTAGTCTGCCGGTCCTGCAAACCACTGTATACCTGTGCCTCGTGATGGTTGACCTGTTTTCTGTTTATTAACCTTTTAAACGGAGAGGAAATGAGGGCCTGAGCTTTCATTCACATCGAGCAGAGGCCAGGGGAAAAGGTTATCACGTTCTGCAGCTGTGATGGGTTTTCCCATGTAGTCTTCAGCCACATATTTTGAGTCAGAGCCTCTTAGAGGAGGGCTCTTCAAAAACTCATCTGAGGCTGAGGCAGCCCTTGGCTTGCACTTGGGGCACTTGGCTTGCAAAGAGGGAGGCTGAGCTGCCTCACAGAATGGTTTGGGTTGGAAAGGACCTTAAAGCCCATCGAGTTCCACCCCCTGCCATGGGCAGGGACACCTCCCACCAGCCCAGGTTGCTCAAAGCCTCATCCAGCCTGGCCTTGAACCCCTCCAGGGATGGGGCATCCACAGCTTCAAGACTTTGTGCAGATGTGAGAGGTCTTTACAGAGGCAATAATTTGTAAAGATCCAGTTTGTGTGTTTTGCAAGGCCAGCCTTGTGTGTCTTCATTTTAATCAAAGAGAGCTTCTGTTACAAGAGTAAACACCTGAAAGCTTTTTTCCTGCATCACAGGTGGTAGTGAAAAATGCTAACATGGAAAAAGATAACGGATCAAAAATTCTCAAAGTGTGTAATTCAGGTCGTTCAAAAAGCCATCTGATACTATCACCTTCTATTTTATTTTGCATTATAACCTGACCTGAGGTAATGGGCGCGCTATAATTCATTGAGGCTGACGGAGGGAAAGATTGTAGAACATGAAAGATCCTGTCACTAAATCAGCTCATTTCCATGGGCAGAATATCTAATATATTAATACTTTTTGAGCTGATGGCTGTTTGGTGGCAGATAAGTATGACGCTGTGAAAACTGAGCTTTGCACCTGATATTAGAAACCTGAAAACTGAATTTTAATGGATGCTACAGGGGAGCATGCCCAAAAAAGATACCATCAGTTATTCAGTTTTTTAGGCTCCGATAAAAAAAAAGTTCTGTTGGCTCATGAAAGGAGGAAGGAAAAACGTATAAAATAACTTTAAAAGAGAGCTGAGGGTTGGTTTGTTTTTTTCAGCTTCAAAGCATTTTAGTGTGCTCTCTTTATTGATCCGCGACAGCACGCTGCCTCGGTTTGAGCACATTGATGATGACACCAGCCTCAAGTAGTAAAAGATGATTTAAAGGAGGAATTTCAGATCGGGATGTAATTACCAAGAAATGCAACTTGACAGCGGTTTTCATAGTTCCCTTTGCTTGCACGTGAAAAGTATTTTTCTCAAAGCTTCCTTCTTCATATCCTAGTTTCTCTTTTTTAGGCTGTTGACCTTAACAGCAACACCTTAGGCACCTTTGGGGAAGTGTTGCAATCTAATGGGGCATGACAAAGAACTGAGAGCAGAGGTGCTATAAAAAACTGAGGTCTGTTGACAACCCATCTATCTCACACAGCGAGCCACTGAAGTGCTTGTCTGTTGGAAATTTAAAGGGAAAAAAAAATCATGTTTCCAAAATTCTGGTGAGAACTGTAATATATGTAACATGTTGAGGCGAAAACACATCTGATTTTTTTTCAGTTCAAGGCTGCCAGCTCCTTTTGGCTTCAGTGGTAGTGTTATATTATTCATCGGTGCAGCATGTATGTGATACTTTTCGAGAAAGCAGAAATAAAAGGACAAAAATCAGAATGACCTGTTAGAACTCTGTAGGAAGGACATGCCTGATGATGATATTTTTTTTCTCCCAGAAAGTTTTGCTTCTCTTCAAAAAAAATCTTCAGAAATGTTTCATTTTAACAAAATCCTGTATTTTCTCCCTGAAGTCAGGTCCGTTGGTTATACCTTCATTCCACCTTGCACCACCCTTCCGCAGAGAGCATCTCCTGGTGACAGCACTGTCCCTCCTCATCCTCCAAAAGTGTTTTGTGCCTTCTCCCTTTTTAAGGAGAAAAACTGCTTTTTGAGAAGGGATGTGACTCCTGATGCCTTGATTTCATCAGTGTCCCTTT